ATGTTGTAGCCGACATGCTGCTGAAGCCGGACATTCGCGACAAAGTGGACGAGTTTGTGCCGCAGTGGTACAACTCACCGGGCGTGCTAGAGCAGCTGCAGCTCGACCTCGAAGCCATCGCAAGAGGTAGGTTGATATGCGTGCGCATCGGGAAAACCGCAATACAAATGAGCACATTTCGGATGGGAGCTAGAATGACTACAACCTTGTCCTTACAAAGGTTAGCTATTATGTCACGTTCATCGTAACGTTACCCAGTCGGAGGTCAGGTCAGGAAGCAGTATGACTACCCACAAGGGCTCTAAGTACGTGTCAAGTTACTCTCTGGCCTACCACAATATGTCATTGATATTGACCATCCAAGCATTACCACACCTTTTTTTGTAACATGTCTTCGGTAAAGGTCATTTCACCGTATTTGACCCTGAGTGCGCCGTCTGACCTGATCTTTTTTCTCCGTACGAACGCCGTCTGACATGACGCGTCTCCCTATGTACTCGCCCTGTGACCTGGCATGTCTCCGTATGTACGCCCTCTGACCTGACGTCTCTCCGTATGTACGCCCTCTGACCTGACGACTGACATGCCTCACCGTATGTGCACTTCCCGTCCTAACGCGTCCCTCCGTATATTCGCCGCGCCGGCCAGGGGAGGACCCGGACGACGTGCTGGCAGCGGCGGCGCGGCCCGGCTCACCCATCACACCCAACACCTCCCCTCGGCTCAGCGCCTCCTGTCTGACCGCGGCGCCCATCCACCCCAACGCGCCCAAAAAGACCAAGTCGGCCACCCTAATAAAGGTAAGTTCGGGGAGACGCTGTGAATGTGACGATTGTGATGATCAGGGAGTAGTGGCTGGTGCCGCTGGTCGCTATCAAATTCGCTCGTGGCTATTATCGGTTGTCCGTCTATTCCAATTCGTGGCGGTGTGCCTCGGGAATCATCTTGCCCATAGGATATGTTGACACGGCGCACGATAGCGGAACTGGGCGTATGTTCATGGTGTGGCATATCCGATCGCTCTGGTGTTGCCTCCGTAACGCGATGCGCTGTGATCCTTCTTTCCGTACCACTTTTCCTGAGGATGGACGGCTTGGTCGCAGTTTCGGTTCTCAATCAATTTTTGGCGCCTGATATGGATATGGAACTAATGGTTCAGCTATGGTTATCCGCGTGCAACTGGAAGCTAGCGCCGCGGGATAGAAAACTCGCACTCTTTGACTTTGGTAATACTGAATGAAAATAGCACAATGAGTGCGTAGATGCTTGGTGACGAACAATTAATGGTCGTAAAAACAAAGGAGTAAAATGCACGCTTGCGTACATACATTCATAGTGCATCCTTACCGTATCCTTCCGGTGTTCGCACTGCACACTTGAGTTTGATTTTACTGCGGCCATCGGTTGCGCTTACTTCACGATTCATTTTTGCTTGCCCGGTGAATTTGACATTTGTTTATACACATGCCTGTCCGACATTCCTCCACTGCGCACATGCGGTGCGTGTTTTCCGTCAGTCCCTACCATACCATCTGGTACGGCCCTGCACGTCTCCAGGTGTCGTCCTCAGGTGCGTTTACTGTCGGGCGCGGTCGGATCGCGCGTGCTGCTGCTGCGCCGGAGGAGCGCGCACGCCGGGCACGTGGGTGCTCACGGCGCCAGACGTGCCCTCCCCGCTCCCCCTCCCCGGCCGTGCCGTGCCGCCGGGGCCGTACTTATACGGCCATCCGGGACGGTCGGCGCACAGTGGGCCGATATGCCATTCTAGCGCGACAGGGCCTGAATCTTCGAACGGAACCCTTGGTTTTTCGCGAGTTATTCGCGTAAAAAGCGGCCGATCGCAACGAAACTTTCAGTACCCTCGCGATAGCTACTTTTACAGCTAACCTGAAAATTTCATGATCCTGACTCCCGCGCCCCACTGGGGGGGGGGGCTATTTATAGCTCCCCTCCCGTTTTTCTGCAATAACTTCCAAACCGCTTGACGTATTGACGTTAAACTTTCAGTACCTTCGGCTGCATCAATTTGACACCTTGTGTCAAAATTTGAACTTCGTAGCTACCATAGGTCGGCCGAAAATGACGTCAGAGTGACGTCATGTTCGTCCGATTTCGACGCAAAACATTGAACCACGGCAATCGCTCCCAAGAGCTCAGTTTTTAAGCTAGATCCAATTTCTTTGCATGAAAGGACTCAAAATTGACCGCGCTATCAAACTGCTATCTCGGATTTTCAAATTTTTAAAAATTTCGAAAATTTAATATAATAATATTCAAAATTTATATTTTTATATTTTTTTCAAAAATTTTTTGACTTTTCGAAAAAACCGGAATATATGTGACAGAACGCATGATTATGACTAACTCTAGCAAGTTTTAGCTAAATATCTTCAAAAATGGCCAAGTTATACGCATTATTGCAAAAAAATTCACAATTATTAATTTTTCAAATCACTTTTTCAGTACGTATTTGACATCGTACACCAATATTAATGGCACCATCGTGTTCCTGAGCTCAAACTGCATCCAATAGACACCTTTTTTGTTGAAAAATTTTTAACTTCAAAATTTGACCTTTTTTGACCTGAAAGTGACCTGACCTAAGCTAAATTCGACTCAAAATGACCTCGAATGACACAGATGACATCAAATTCGAAATCTATGGCCTAAATGGACCATAAAACATGTGTCACGTGACCGACGCATGATATAATATTTTCGTGACCTGTGATGACCTGACCCTGACCTGAAAATCAAAGAACAAGTTTGGTACCCTCAAGGTATCTAGAGCATCTGTTCACGAGTGTGGAAACCAAAAATGAGCCTGATCTGACTTGTAAGACGGCGGCCAGAGCCCAAAATGTGAACAAGCCAAAGTGCTAATAATTTTTACTTTGACCTGACCTGTGACGTCATCGGTGACCTCGAGGTCAATGAAATTAGGTTTCGCTCGACAGTTTTTCCGGGGCTATCAGACGCCGTTTGAATTTTGACGATCGGCCCAGTAGTTTCGGAGTTAGGAGGGGGGGCTATGAATAGCCCCCCCCCCCCCCAGTAGGGCGTGTTATACACAGACCCCAGTGGGGCGCGGGTTAATGATCTTTGACCTGTGACCTTCTTTCGAGACCATGTTTGGCCGAAATCGCGATTCAGCGTATGTCGGCTCGCATTAGCCGCGGGTTTGCAGTCTTTTCTTGGTTTAAGGCGTTCAAACATGGGATGTTATATTGCTCCCATGCATGAGGGTGGGTGTCAAGGTCACCAGAAGATCAGGTAAGGTCATTGACCTTTGATGACCTTGGTTCACTTTTTCGAGTTTTACATGTTTCTAGGCTAGTTTTTGGAGCTGAATTCGAATCTAGCAACCATTTGAACATTTACTATGTAGCTTTGGTGCCTTCGTAACATGTTACAAAGCTGTCAGAGGCGGTTACCACCTACTGCAAATACACGGCAAAACCCTTGCTGGTTGAACTGACCTGACCTGACCCGACCTGGCCTAAATGTATGAAGACATCATCTATGATCGTAAATACCATTATATTCGTGATCAGCACCCAAAAAAACCCATAGCAGCCACCCTTTACGATGTTCTAACAGGTCCCGATTTTCCCGACTTTTGGGTCATTGACCTGACCTGGAAGGTCAACCGATGACCTAGGACCTTACAATTGGGTATCATCAGCTTCCTCTTGTCACGGGTAACACGCTCGTCTTTTCCGCGAAGCTCTAGCTCGATCAGGGGCGAAACGGCGGGGGGGGGGGGGGTCCAACGGACCCCTTCTATACGTTCGCGGCTGGAAAAACACCACTAGGGGCGAGGGTTAAGCCAAATCTGAGGGCTTATTTCAGAAAGACCGCTAAAAGAGCAATTGAATGCACTTTTCCGCGACGATGTAGCTCTATTGGTCCCCGAGGTAAGGGCCGGTTTTCGAGAAATGTTGATATATGCAACATTTTACCTTTGATGACCTCTGGTGACGTGACCTTTGACCTGACCTAAAAATGACTAATTGCTCCATCTGGAATTTCGGGCGCTCTTTCGAATGTCACTTACTACGTGTCGCTATGTGGCCCAAGAGCCGAGTTAGAAGGGGAGTGTTCAATCAATACCTCCCGGCCCGGCGCGTTTGACGCCGAGCACCGGTCCGGCGCGGGTTGATGTTTGGCTGCTACATCCAAAGTCGCAAAAAGTCGCAAAAAATGACTGTTGGATCTTGTAGTGCAATGAATCATTGACATGTAGCGAGATTTTCGAAGCGGTACTCTGCGGTACTTTTTTTAAAAGTCTATTTGTGTGTGACATCGATTATGTGAAATTATATTTTCGTCTTTAAATCTTTGCGGTGCCAATACATCATAACCAAGTAAGAGTTCGCCATTCTCATGTGGTTATGTGTGTTCTGCAGACCCGGAGCTATCGTTTGATGTATATAAATGTGGAATTCCTCCTCAAATTGTGATTGTTTTCGTGGATCAAAGATACGTTGTCGAAGAGTGCGGGGGACGAGTTCGGTCCAAACGATTCCGAAGTTCGTGTTTAAGCTGAGTTTTCGCCATGAAATAGCAATTGTGTTGGAAAACAAAGACCACAGCAATGTAGTATGATCATTTTTGAACAAATTGGTATAGGTTTCATTGCACATCCACAATGTTCGATTTTTTTACCCATGTCGTGCTAGACCTGGCGATCGGCCCAGTGTGCGGCGGCTGGTCTTCCTCCTCCGCACAGCACACGTCATACCGCGGTTACGCTGGCCTCGCGCGGGTACTACCGCGGGGAGCCTTGATGCTGCCGACTCGCGGACCGTTCTTACAGGCCCGCAGAGCGGGTTAGCTGCCCCGTGCCGGTGGGGTTTACTGGATGCGCCGCGCGCCGGCCGCCTGCAGTTGGCAGCCGTGCCAGCGGCGTGCCGAGCTCGGCGGCCTGCTGGCCGGCCGAGCACGGTAATTGGTCGGTGCGGCCGGCGGACCTGTCTCGCCGGCCGGCTCCTACCCGCGGCCGGCGCGCCGTCCGCCCGCCGCCAGTCCGCCGCGTCGCCCGGTAGGTGGAGGTCGCGTCTGTGGCGACCGTCGCGCCGTGCAGCTCGTGCCGCCGTGTCGGTCAGTTTGTCGGTGGAGACTGTGAGGTGTGAGACGCTCTGACGGCAGGGAATACCAGTGAGTCTGCCGGAACTGTCGCAGAGACCCGATACAGGTGTGTATGGGAGAGTTGGCTGTCTGTGTGGGGGAGGGGAGGGCCGAGGGGTGTGGGTTGCTTGTGAGGCTGCCTGCTGACGGATGGACGCCGCTCGCCGCTGTGCGTGGGGGTGGGGACGGGAGAGGGGTGGGCGGGCGGGTCACATCTGCAGAGGGAGGGACTCAGGACTGTACTGTAAGACCTGCCGAGTCGGTGTCGGATCGCGTGCCGCGTGCCGAGCTCAGAGCAGGGAGCGCCGTCCGGTCCAGTGGCACTGCAGCTGCCCGGTGTGCAGGGAGCGGTCACTGGGCACTCAGGGACTGTTGCCATCCTCTGGACGGTTGCAGGGGGTCTGTATTGAGGTGCGATAGAGGAATGTTTACTATCCGATGATCGCCACCCGTCCGAACCTCGATAGTTCTACCGACTGTCTATGCCCCCTGTTATGGATTGGCACGGGCCGCCCCTCGCTCGGAGCTGGGCCAGCCTCTGCCTGCCCCCACCGCCGTCTGTTTATCACGGCTCGCCAGCCTGGACCCGGTTCCCTGCCAGAGCTGGCAGCTAACGACCGAGGGTGGGGCTGCTGATGCTTTCTGATGGCGAGGCGAAATACCAAATCAAACCGATCAGAACTAAAAACACGGCTAACTATAAGAGGAGCTTTCCGCTACACTTCTGGGAGATGCTCTTGACTATGTCCGAATCGTTGCGACGGCATGTCCGTTTCCGATCTTTCCCTGACTTTGGTCTGGTGCCTTCTCACACCACCGTAGTTCGGTGGAAGATCATCCCCGACAGCTGTGGGCTCGCACGGCGCATCCGACTCACGTGTCTGCGGCTCCGCGGCCAACAAAGACCGGTGCGAACTACGCAGCGTCTGGCGCAGTCTGCCGTGCTCGCTGCCAGCTGTGCCGGCGCCGGCCGACCTGAGGCGTACCCTCTGCTCACGTGACTTCAGGTGGCCTGTATGGGGGCCGATGGGTCGAGTCAGCCGATCGGTATGACTCACCGTGCCGGGCCACCGATCAGGTGTCGCCTCTCTCCCGTGACCGCACGGTGCACAGTCAACATTTGAGTCAACAGCAGTCAACAGGGCTGGTATTCACAGCGGCGCCGAGTGCAGGAATACCGGCGCCGTTCGGCGGAACCTCGTGCCGTCACAATGCGCAGTACTATCGGTGTGAAGTTCCCTGAACCGTCAGACGACCATGGCACTCATGTCACGCGATTAGCGTTCTCCTCAGCTGTCGATCTTGAAGGGATCGTTTGTCTGTCGAATATCCCCGTAGATCCCCCTCAATCCACGTGGATATTCGCAGATTTCCTAGAACCTCCAAAGATGTCTGTGCCTCAGCCAGACGACGTACGACTCTCCCGGTCCCGTCGCTCCGATCCCCTCCGTCGCGGCCGACGCCGTCGACGAGGGGCGTCGTCGATTGATGTGAGAGGGGTGCGAGGCGCGTCGGGCGGCGGGGAAGCGGCGATAGGCGCCCTATCCCCGGGGATGAGTGGGCTAAGCAAACAATATCGTGACGCTCACTGAGAAAACACCGCTGAGTCAGGTTATACGAAAACAAAACTGATTACTCGGGGCGTTTGGGGTCGGATTTGACCCGTGTTTAGAGCATTTATAAGTTTTGATTGAACATTTGGTTGTATTTTGACTGAATTGCCTTTGCCAGTGCGTGTATTACATACTTTTCTGTTCGTGTACCCGAAAGCAAGTTTGTCCGTTTCAGATCGTCCCTGACCCTCGTACTATACGCCACCCCAATCATCACTCTCCCTCTCCCTCATCACGGCACCGACCCCGCTCTCCGGCGCTCCCCGGTGTGCGAGGGGATCGATCCCTATTGAGCAGACAGACAGATGGCCCCAGGGCGCGCCCCTCGCCCCCGCCAGCGGCGGTCAGTATTGCACGCCAGTGCCGCTCTAGTATGGAGAGACCGGCGCCGATAGGCGGCGCCGATCTGGGCGAGACGGGGCTCTTTGCCTGCCCTGTTCTGGGCCGGTTGTGAGCTGGGCGTTATGAGGTGAATTGGCTGGTGGTGAACAGGAAACGCACACCGTCTCCCTATTTTAGCGGTGAACATGCAACACCTCCACTCTCCAGCTCATTTCAGTTGGACGTCGGTGTTGTCCAGGCTGAGCCATGCCAGGCCCTGGATTTGTCCCGGACTCCCGTCTCTCACAGATGACTTGTCCGAGTCTGTTCTGTCTGGTCCTGTCCGTCTGTCTTGATTACCGGACAGGTGACGTATGTCGTGCTGTCACTCAGGGCCCCGTTTCTCACCCGGCGCGTGGCGGCAGAGCAGCTCTTAGCCACCTCTCCGGAGGGCTATCGTGCTCTCCTCGTTTCCCCGGTCAGTGACGCTGACCCGTGATGTGAACGATGAACGGGACATGAGTCACCGCCCGGTCCGCTGGGTTCGACGGCCCGAGCGGGACCCCTCAGATGCGCTGGTATCTTCAGTATCTACGCTGTGTCAACCTGGTACTTCGGCTGGGCTCGTGCTCTGCGTCTCTCTCTCTCTCTCTCTCTCTCTCTCTCTCTCTCTCTCTCTCTCTCTCTCTCTCTCTCTTTCTCTCTCTCTCTGTCTCTCTCTGTCTCCTCTCTCTCCCCCCTCTCTCTCTCTTTTTTCTCTCCTTCCCTCCCTCCCAGCGACCCCGTGACTATGACGTCACTAACATCGTGTCGTTTATCGGTCCGGACACGGTGGCGGCGGCGACTATCGCCCGTCGGCCTCACAGACCGAGATATCGCCGACTGTTTCCTGTGTACCCGCGGCCGAGACGCCGTACATACGCGAGTCATGTGTTGCGGCCGGCGCCGCCGTCCGGAGCTGACGGGTGGCGGGTTAGCTGGCGGACCGTGTGCACTCATTGCAGGGGTCTGGGAGGTCAGCTGATCGGCCGGCATGTGTCTGTAGTGGGCTGAGTAGGAGGCCTGGCATGTCTACTGGGGTTTCACTGACATGTGGCATCCACTGACGTGAACTTGTCGTAGGTCTTCTCCGTTCAACCTCGGTTCGCCGCTCTCAACTCGGCCGAGTTATGAAAGACTCTGTGCAGCAAATGCGCATCGCGCTCTGACATTGATCTAATTCGAAATGATCATTGTCAGGCGCGAGCTAATGCCAGGTATCATGCAGATCAGTTGCATGTCTGCAACCCGCATTGCCTTCTTTGTGCGGCTCCAAATCGCATTACCAGAGTCATTAGTATGCACCGTGCATACGTCGCACTAATCGAGTTTTGCACCCATACTTTTCGGCCATTGTGAGCCCATATGAGATAATCATCAGTCCCACTCTGGCCGCGACCAGCGTCGTTCGGAATTTCTTCATCGATCAAGACAACAGACGAGCTGGTGTTGGCGACAGACAGCGGCGGCGCTGTCGGGCGGCACGTGACTGGTGTGACGAGCCGCTCCTTTTCCGCTGTCCGGGCTGGTAGGGAGAGGCGCCCGGGGTCGTCCGGCACGGCCGCTGACAAGACACCAGTGTCTCTCCCAGACTGTGAGGAAACAGCGGCACCGAACCGACCGAACAGAGCATTGGGAAGTGGCGAATTGTGTCGGCAACACCAAACGCCGAGATTGAGTTGGAGAGAGCATTAGCGCCGCACATAAAAGAAGAGCCCGGTGATTTGTATCCGTGAGAATGGGCGTTTTTAGCGCTGGACCGCTGATTAGTTTCAATATATCGAGGTCGCGCTGTGCGTGACGGGCTTCCTTTCGGACCGACCGACGCCGGGGCCGGAGCCGCCCGCGGGAGCGCGACTCACGGCTGTGAGCCAGTTCACACAGACTGTCACCGTCCCCGGCGGACTCCGCTGGAGCTCCGGGCGGAACTGCGGGCGGAGTTCCGGGCGGTACTCCGGGCGGTACTTCGAACGGCGCGCGGCGGCACACCACTGACCGATCCATCGCGCCGTCCCTAGGGTTGGTGTAGGTTCAGCTGTTCAACTGGGAGCCTTGTCCGTACGGGCGGTGGCCAAGTCTCCCCACTATCTCGTGTCAATCGACTGAGCTCTGTCGGCTCGGAGACCTTACAGGTGTCAGTCGGATCTGGGGCGGATTCACTCGATCGGCTGCTCAGTGCTCAGCCGGTGTGATCGGACAGATCGCCGCGCCTGTGGATGTGGGACGCCCGTGTCCTTCCGCGCCATCTCCAGAATTTGACAGAGGATTCTGCTGAGGACCGGGTGTTACAGGCCTCCTGGTTTGAGAGGTGTGTGCCGTGCCGAACAGCCACCGCCCCCTGAGATCTGACGCAATTATTCGGGCCGCGTGGTTGAACACCGGCTCGGCAGCAGGCGTTTATAGCCGCGACGACCGTCATCTCTCCCTTGCCCAGCGAGTGGCCGCTCCACGGTCCATGATCGGTCCCGGTACGGCTGTCCGCCCGGCCACATACCCGACTGCCATCGGCGTCGCGTCCGGCCCAGCCATTCATACGGCGGGCGGCTCCTTATACGGGCGCGGTCGGGCCGGCCGGTACGCCAGGTGAGCGGCCGCCCGGTCGGCCGGTCGGCCGGTCGGCCGGCCGCCCGGTCGGCGCCTCGTCCGCGGCCTTGTACGGCGCTGGCGGCGCGCGCACGTGACTGTCGGTGTCGGCCGCGCCGAACCAGCCCCTCCCGGTCAGCATGGGAGTGGGAGGGGCGGCTGTCTTCAGGAGGTGTGCTCTCAGCAGCCTTTTCTGACACCCGGTGGCAACAGAGTGAACCCAGATCGTCCCCCGTGGATAGATCAGTCGTGATATGAGGGTCGGGTTATAGTGGGAAGAGATCTGTCCTCAGGACTTACCAAGGTCCCTCATCGACCGCGTTTGCAGCGTCATGATTCGGTGCAATGAAGCTGATGGATGGCTGTGGGCCCGGCTGTTACGCCGCACTCGGTTTGTGCAGCTGACCTTGTGCGGCCTGCCTGCTGTCGCCGCGGCCAGCCACCGTAGATTGATAACCAATGGCCGTGTGTCAGCACGCCGAGGTCTGATTGAGTCGGGACACGCCAGCGG